GGTGTTTGATGAACCTGATGGTGTTGGTGACTTTGCACAAAAGAGAAAGGCACAGCCAAGAGTGTTTTCAGCTTTGTCATTATCACCTGATATTGTCCCTTTAATAGTTGGGGCACCTCTACTTCTAGATGCACGGCCAGTGACTCTTATTGATTTGAGCGGCTGTCCAGAGCCAGACTAATTGGGCCCAGAGATTGGAACAGTGATTCAGCAGGAAGGGGTGAACTGACACGGCAGAGCCTGTTGTCTGCTGGCGGGCTGGCTTTGCAGCAGCTCTTGCCCGCGCACAGGAGCAGGGAGCAGGGAGCTTAGCAGGCTGGACCTCACTGCCCTTCTCGCGGTTAGAGACACGGTGGGACCCGGAGGGCCTGGGAGCTGGTGTAAAGCCATATTCCCCGGGTCCCAGCAGCAGCAACCCATATCACTCCCTGCTAACTCCAAGCTTCTGAAATTGATGATGAATACTCCCTGTGCTCTGCCACTCCCTAAAGAGTCTAACTCCTGTCCCCAAGGCACTGTGCCACACAGGGGTGGGCCTCTGGTCTGAGCACCAAAGTCTATGTGTGATATCCTCTGGCCCATCCCAAGGGCTCTAAAAATAAAGACCTGTGACGGCCACGTGTTTGACTTTTTTTGAACAACATTTTCAATGCCTGCTGTCTGTCATCTCGTTTCTTTTCTGAATGTGTTGATTGAACAGTGGGTGGCTAGGTAATGTTTGTGTTGGCACAGACTCCCAACAGCTGATTTTATTTTCTAAAATACGTTTTAAAAAACCCCAGAGATGTAGACTATCCCATGGAAACTTCTCTTCACCCTATCATTCTGTTTTCTAAAAAGCGTGCACTTTAATAACTTATCAGCACGAAGATAAACCCCGTGAAAGGCAAGCTATTTACATCGCCCTGAATTGATTTTCGATCCTTGTCGAACATCCATTTTTTTTTTTTTACCAGTTCAGACCCGTGCAGGCGTTCTATTTTGTGCGCTGTTTTCCCATAGAGCGTTACTTCTTTTATAAGATATAATAACTTAATAATAGTCGCTCTTATTTCAGTTGGTTTTAACAGTTCACAACAGTTCTTTTTATGCCTTATCTCAAGCTTCCTATTGTACTGTCCTGTATTGTATTGCATGAGTCAGGCCTGCATAAAGAAAAAAGTGAAAAAAAGCCTGGGTCCAAGTCCTGCATTTGAAATTACAAGCTATGTGACCTTGAGAAATTCTTTAACCTCCTGGAACTGCTTTCTTTCTCTGTAAAATGGGCAAGAAGAAGATTAAATGAGAGCATGTATAGAAAGTGCCTCGTAGCACTGTGCCTGGCATGGGGGAGGCACTGTATAATGATAATTTCCTTTTTTTTTGTTATTATAAATAGCAATCAGTAGTTTTCAAACTTTTATGTGACTTTCAATTTTTCCATTATATTTCTATGTGGCTCACAATTGATTTTTCCTCCTGGGAGCCAATGACCCTATAGGAAAATAATTTCATTATTTAACCATGAAGGAAATATTAATGGCTGAACATACCTTGATTGATTCATAAGGTTTCAAATCATGTAGAAGATTCTCAGGCATTCCAAAATCATGGTTACTGAAAATTCAGAGGTAATCCCTTTTCCCACCAAAACCCCAGAAATAGAAAAACTTGATGTGTTTGAATAACACACATGAGAACATATTATTCTCTGGGGAGAGGACAAACCCTTTGAAATGTTCATTTGTTCATTCATTTATTCAGTCAGTCATTCACATGAATATTCAATAAACATCTGCTGAGTATTGAGAACATGCTAGACATTGGTGGAGACACTGGCTGTTGGAAGAATTTTATGGAGAAGATACATTTTGGGAGAAAACTCAAAAAAGCCAAATTGATAACAACACCTGTTTTATTTTAGTTGACTGCAGCTGTTGTCAAAAAGGGAAAACCTCAACCAATCTACTTAGGGCAGGCTCTCAGGAAGGAAATTGAATGAAAACAGAAGGTGAAACTTTTGTTTTATCCTCCTCAGTCAAGAAAAGTCTAAAATGGCAGCAACCCAAGCCATTTTAGATTTGGACCAGATGACTGACCCATCTTGCCACCCCCTTGAAGTTCAAGGGGTTGGTAACTCCCCTCTATTATATACAAAATTATGTGAGTATGTACATTTTCTGGGCTTCATAGCCGGCGTCACCTTTTCAAATTGGTAAACTTCCTATAAAGGGGATGGTATCCTTTTATCAAGCTGTGAACCACTGACTTCTATTCAAATGGACTCTCTCATTTTATGTTAACCAAGGGGGTGACTATGCATGCAGTGCTTTAGAAACGAGCTTTATGAGTACTGTAAAGTTTTTTGGGTTATGAATTGGTTTACTAATTAGTTATTAAATAGTTACTAATACTATTAGTATTCATTATTATATCAATCAATAAAATCTTTGCTTTTATGATTAATAACATTAGGTATTAGCAACCAATAGTTCTAGTAATGGCTAATTATATAATTGATTAGTAACAGAAAAATCTTTAAAGTGCCTTTGAATGCTGTTTGGATATTAATGATAGCTTAAAATGTCACAGATAACAGCACTATACAATAAATGTTGAGGATTTGTGGTTTGGCCAGAAGCTTCATCCCCAGGTAAAGACCTCACTAGGGTACATGGAGCTCCTTGTGTATGCCCATTTCTGGCCCAGGGTAATTATCTAGGAGGTAATCAATAAATATTGATTGAACAAATCGACTCAGCAGACTGAGTCTCATTGTGGTTCCTTCCCTTGGCCCTCCTGGGTGAGAACCTCTGGAACTTAGGCTGGAGCAAAATGTCCAAGAGGTTTCTCCCTGAACTTGGAGCCCAGAGAGTAGAATTCAGGTGCTTCAGATAGCAGGTGTGCACTTGGCCCTGGCCTGGACAAGTGCTTCTGTTTCCTGTGCACCAGCTCTGCCTCCCGCTGGTGGCACCTGCGGGCCGTCTGAGGGCATGGTGATGAGAGGCAATGCCCTGGGGACTGCTGCTCCCTGTGCCAGGGTCTGACATATGCCATATGGGCCTTGCTCTTGCCACCTCTCCTTCCTAGTTCTGTGTGACTCAAACAGAAACAAAACATAAACTAAATCAATTATCGTAAGGTCACAGGTCTAGCTCATGAAAGACTAGACAAGACTTAAAAGAAATTAGACTGCAGCAGAATGTAATTAAAAAGGGTTTTGATAGGAATTGAGTGTAATAACCCTGAGTGGTGATTCCTTCAGAATGGCATCTGATACATCGTTTGGGATATAGGGTTTAAAAACAAAGCTGTGAATGCCTTGTAGTTAATGGCCCTGCTTTAGATCTCTTCCTTTGGTATTACATGTGCCTATAGCTGTGCTGGGTATGATACAGACCAGGACAAAAGGAAGCATATGGCAAGGTTCATAGCTGGGGCTCAGTGAGTCCTTCTGGATAGATGGGATGGCGTCTTAGTCTGTTCAGGCTGCTATAACAAAGTACTAGAGACTAGGTGACTTAAATAGCATTTATTTTTCATAGTTCTGGAGGTGGGAAGGCTATGATCAAGGTGTTGGTTAATTCAGTTCCTGGCGGGGATTTTCTGGCTTGAAGAGAACCACTTTCTCTGCCCCCACACGAAGAGCTCTGTCTCTTCCTCTTCTTATCAGGTAATAATCCCATCACAGGGGCCCTGCCTTCATGACCTCATCTAAACCTAATTACCTCCCTGAGGCCCCATCTCCAAACACCATCCCTTGGGGATTAGGACTTCAACATTGATTTTGGAAAGGGGATACAAACATTCAGTCCACAACAGATGTGGTAGGGCTCTTGGTACCAATGGGCCCATGGTTTTTTCATTCTTGCTCCTTGCTGTCTGGTGTAACCATGGGGTAGAGATGGGTATTCTCAGAGAACTTGGACTATAATTCTTACCAAGAATTTCTGGGAGGAGTGGTCACTTCAAACACTATTAGGAGGAGAGCATACAGTAGAACAGGAGAGTTGCCTTCTGTGTTTCTCTCGGGGAATACTGGAACATCTCCCATGTTCCTTGCCTCCTCCTCATCACCTACTGCAAGAGCCATCATCCGTGAACTTTCTACATCATCTTAAATCCAGAGCCCCAGTGTGGGGCAGCCTCAGAACTGAGTCCCAGCACATAGAGGGGTCATGGAATGCTCTGCGGATATCACTGGGCTCCTGTTCTCTGCCAGAGATGTTTAATTTCACACTATTAAACTGATAAATACCCTGTATGTCCAGTAAAGTCCCACTTTCCATCATGTCCTCATTCAAGAATCCAAATGTGGCCAAATTGCCAGAAACGTAGCTTTTTATCCCAGTGGCCACATCCCTTATCTCTTACTCCTCTTGTCTTATCCAACCTTGTTTTCTTATTACAGTGTACTTTTTATCAAGAAATATTTTAGACAAGTGAAAAGTATAAAAAAACACATTATAAATGCTCGGGTACCCACTGCTCAGCTTAAGAAACAAACAAAATGCTGCACAGTTGTCGCACCCTCCCTGCCCTCTGTAAACAGGACCATGAGAAACAAGTCCGGGAGCAGCAAAGGCTGCAGGCAGCAGTCCAGTAAGTGAGCAAGAGCAAAGGTTTGGGGGCAAGGTCAACTCCAGTGGAAGTCTGGCTTGGTGCCTCCCTGCTGGGCCAATTTGGGACAATCCTATAAACTCTCAGAGCCTTGACTTGTTTATAAAATGGGGATAAGTGCATATGGTTGACCCCCCCAGAGTTGTGAAGACCAAACAGAGTCATGATATAAGGGCTTAGCCCCGCACTGGGCATGCGGGGAGGGCTCAGCACTGGGAGGTGTGGCTGCTGGGATCCTCTTGGATTTACACTACAGAGATTGGCCCCTGGGGAGCAGCGAGGCCTTACTTCAGGGGAGGCCCGGAGAGCTGTTCCTGCCTGGACCCAGGCGAGAGGGCAGGGACCTGAGCTCCTGTGGTGGGTGCCGTGGGCTGACTGATGGGGTGTTTGGTGCATTTCAGGTGCTCGTCCTGGCTGTGAAGCAGCTGTTTCCAGAGTTTGAGTTCATGTGGCTGGTGGACGAAGCCAAGAAGAACCTGCCTTTGGAGCTGGACTTCCTCAATGAAGGGAGGAATGCTGAGAGAGTAGCCCAAATGCTCAAGCACTTTGACTTCTTAAAGGTGGGAGGGGCAGGGCAGTGCGGGCGTGGTGGTCTGATGAGAGTGCAGGGAAGGCCGGGCCCTGCCCTGAACATTCCCCCTGCAGGACACGAGTGGAGATGCCCTCTTCCTGAGTTTGCTTTCTGAGGATGGATGATTTGTCCCTAGTGTTGCTCGTTAAAGCTCCTGAATGTAGCATTACAAAGAAATGCCAGATGTGATTGTTGACCTGTCATTCAAACAGATGTTTATTGAATGATTGGCAATTTTAAGACATTGAGTACTACCCGAGGGCCTGTAAGCTCCAGTCTCTGCCTCCGTGAAGCGCGGGCTGCTGCTGTGCGCTGGCGCTATTCCTACCACTATATGTATGTTACATCGGTTAATAGTTCTGTTATAATACAACATGTGTTTTCCTAGACATCTCCATAGCATGCTCCAAAGGATGCAAAAATCACACAACAGAAACCACAGGGCTTCTTGGGGTGGGGGAATAGGGCTAGGCTTACAACAGTGCCAACAGTCACAGGGAAAGATGTTCAACATCACCTGTCATCAGGGAAATGCACACCAAAGCCACACTGAGGTATCACCACAGACCAGAATCAAAAAGACAAGAAATAACAAGTGTTGGTAAGGATGTGGAGAAAAAGGAACCCTCGTGCACATTCGGTGGGGAATGTAAATTGGTGCAGCCACTGTGAAAGACAGTTTGAAAAATCCTCAAAAAATTAAAAATGGAACTAACGTATGATCCAGTAATTCCACTACTGGGTATTTACCCAAAGGAAAAGCCTACTAAATTTGAAATGTGTTTATTGCAGCATTATTTACAAAAGTGAAGATGTGGAAGCAGCTCAAATGTCCACCCACAGATGAATGGATAAAGAAGATATATATATATATCTCATATATATATATAAAATACTATATAATATTCTATTATGTGTATTATAGCTATAATACTAATAGTATATAGTATTTCATTATATATGTCATTATATATAATATATATTCCATTATGTATATTATATATTATGTTATATGTAACATTTAATATATAGATAGTATATAATGTTCCATTATATATATCATATATATTCCATTATATATTATATATTATATTATATATATATAATGGACTGTTAGCCACAAAGATTATATAATACATATTCCATTATATATTATATATTCCATTATATTTTATAATATATATATAATACAGCCATGAAAAAGAATAAGATCTTTCCATTTGCGACAACATGGATGGACTAGAGTGTAGTGCTAAGTGAAATAAGTCAGAGAAAGACAAATACCATATATGATTTCACTCGTATGTGGAATTTAAGAAACAAAACAGATGAATAAAAGAAGATAAAACAGGCTGAAATACAGAGAACAAACTGGTGGTTGCCAAAGGGTGGGGGATGGGTGAAATTAATAAACGGGATTAAGAATACACATTATGATGAGCACTGAGTAATGTATAGAATTGTTGAATCATCCACCTGAAACTAATAGAACACTGTATGTTAATTACACGCCAGTAAAAAAATAACAAAAAGAGACAATTTGCAAAAGAGAAAATGCACATTTAAAAAAATGTTACCAGTGACCCAGAAAATAAAAGAGGGTAGGAGCCTAGTAAAAGCAGTAGTTTAGTTTTGCACGTAATGAAATGGCTGAGAAGCACATAAGGCAGCAGAACATGTAGGACTCTACCATGACATCTACTTGTGAAAGTGGGCATCAGAGGAGTTGCCGCTGGTGTGTTGTTGTGAGGTGCAGACGGAAGGTCATCTGAAACTGGAGACGGAAAGTAATGATGCCGGATGTGCGCACGTGATGATGTTGAGGTGTGTTTGTGTGTGTGTGTGTGTGTGTGTGTGTGTGTGTGGTGTATGCCCATGTGGCTCAGTTCAGCTGGAAGCAGTTTCCTGCATTCGTAAAGTAGTTCCTGTGGATGACAGCTCATAGAAGCAAATGCAGAATTTGCGTTATGATCAAATTGCCCCCTCATAGATCAGTCGCATTGGAAAAAATTTGTGTTTTCAAGTGCTGTAAGAAGAGCTGCCTGTATAATGATAGAAGACCCCTCCTGAGGGAAGTAATATCAAGTGATACGAAGTAGCAGCTCTGTCCGAGGTCCTACTGGTAAGTGTTCTAGAGATTCAGGAGAAGGCACTCCTGTGGTGCATCAGGGCAGGGAAGCACCTGCCGAGGAGCTTGGCACTGGCACTGGTCCTTGACTGGCCTGATGGTCCCCACGGGCTCCACAGGGTTGGCATGAGAGAGATGCACCACATCAATACCACTGTTCTTCCCACACATTAGGTCCGTGGCGGGACGTGGACCCATTTACCCAGGGGTTCCTCCTCCTGGCGTAGGGGTTGGGTCCCTCTGGTACTCTGTATAGAGAGCTTGGCTTTCAACTATTTGAAGAGATCAGGCCCTTCTCTCTCCACTTGGGAAGGCTGGAGTGTGTGGGAAGGGAGGTCACAGAGCCTTTAGGAGCTCCAGGTGCTCGTTCTAATGCTCTTTGGGGAGGAGGGTGTTTCAGTACATTGAATGGGGAAGTCTCTTGCTCTGGGCTGAAGTGTTCATGTGGCTTCTGAAGGCATCAGAAGACATGGAGATAGTGTTGATACTTCTATCCAGATGAATCAACAGAGATGGGGAGACTGAGGGGTGTCTATACTAGTCACCTGAGAATCCTAAAGCTCAGCTCATGGGAGGAAAAGCCGCAACTGTGAGTCAATGTAGTGCCTTGACCCTGGTTTTGGTGAAAGATGTAGCTGTTGGCAAAGTTTGACTCTCCGAGTGAGTTGAGAGTCGGGTCTGTCTACATGCCTGTTGGATGCTTCCCTGGCTTTTCCTTGTAGATCTGGATGTACTGACCCTCTTGTGCGTGTAAATCCAGATGTGCAGACTAGAGCTGGTAACCCTGCCCCAGCCTTGAAGTTCAAGCCACCAATTCAATAAAAACGTGGCTCTCTTAGACAAGGAGTGCTACCGATTAGCATAGTGCTGTGGAGTCTAAACTATGTTTGCTTCTACTTGCACATCCTGTTTCTTCCATTTCTTTATCTCCCATTCCCTGAGCTTGCCACTGTGCTAGGAGCTAGGAGTGCCTGGAGGCGTAAGAGATGGTTTGGCTCCTACCTGACAAAACTTCCCATCTCGTGGGGACGAGCACACTTGCTACAAGACGTCTGTGCCATGCACATATGCACGTACTGTGACGGAGACTTTGCTGTGTTTCTATGGATTCCCAAGAGCAAGTTCTTAATTCTCTCAGGATAAAGGAGCTCAGAGCGGAGTTCCAGGAAGTGTTGCTTGTACAAAGGGATAGGCAGTCTTCCCTAAAGGTGTCCTCTGCTGCCATGAAGACTTCGCAGGTGCCATGACATTGAATCCTTCCGACAGCCATCATCCCATTTTACAGATGGCAGTCTTAGAGGAGAGGGGCTAGGGTTACCACCCAGATTTTGTGATTTCATCTCTGGTGCTTGCCCGAAGACTTTCTGCTGTCTCTTACCCGGCAGGGGTGCTCCTCAGCACCAGAACCATGAACCTGACAAACAGAACCGTCTCCTTCACCGTTCCCATGGAAACAGCAAATTGTCCTCTGGCTGAGGCCAACTAGCGTCTGCCAGACCAAGACATGTAATAATAATAATAACACAAATTTTTGAAATGAGGATGCCAAATGGGTAAATAATTAATGTAACGATTTGACCCGCCGCTTCTAAAACCCACACACTGTTCCTAAGACAATGGTGCAACCAGGGCTCCTGAGTAATTAATTTTGCTTAAACACATAACAAGTGGGAAGCGAATTTTGCACCGTGAACCCAGTTCAGCTCTTAAAACTGGAGATAGATTGCTTTTGCTCACTGGCACCCCATCACAACATCTGTGTGTAATTAAGCCTCAGCGAAGAGTTTACCTCTCAGTGTGTGAAGCATCTTCCAGTGGGGCTTAATAACCTCAGCCCCACGACATAAATCTCGGAGCCGCAGACGAGCCCTGAATGCAAATATGGTGTCGGGGAGACTGGGAGAGGGTGAGAGGGCAGCCGGGCTGAACGGTCAAGTCCAGGGCATTTGTGCATTTGTAGTCAGTGTGTGTGTGTGTGTGTGTGCGTGTGTGTGCATGCGCACGCGTGTGCGGGAGGGGGAGGGGACAGGGCAAGTGGTGAGGTTTGTGACTAACCCGGGGGACAGCTGGGGACAAGGTAGGAGGGAGAAGCCTTACAGCCACAGGGTTTGAGACCGGGAGAGGGGAGAGTGAGCCCGCACATGTGAAGGCAGGGTAGATGAAGCTGTCATCTCCAGAACAGGGCCACTTCCGGGTTCCTTAGTGCAAGGTAAGGAACCTGACACTCTCCAGAAGTTGTGGGCAGGCCTTGAGGAATGTGCATGCTTTTGGAGAAGCACCGTAATTTCCTACAAATAAAGATTAAGAACCACTGATGTATAATAATTAGTGTGAGTTAATAATTTTTACATGCCTATGCTGTGTTAGACACCTTTTTAAAGTGCTTTGTATATATTTACTTAAAAATATTTTTTAAATATGGCACACAAAAGTGCATTTTCTCTTTATTTTCTCCCTAGCACCTGATTGATAGTTCTTTATTGTTTATGTTATTAAGGATTTTAAGTAAAACTATCTACATACAAAAAATATATTTTTAAATGTTTATTTTTGAAAGAGAGAGACAGAGCATGAGTGGGAGAGGGGCAGAGAGAGGAGGGAGACAGAATCTGAAGCAGGCTCCAGGCTCTGAACTGTCAGCACAGAGCCCGGTGCAGGGATTGAATTCATGAGCCGTGAGATCATGACCCGAGCTGAAATTGGATGCTCAACCGACTGAGCCACCCAGGCGCCCCTATTTCCTTTTTTTTTTTTTAAATTTTTTAAGCGTTTTTATTTATTTTTGAGAGAGAGAGAGAGACAGCGTGAGCAGGGGAGGGGTACAGAGAGAGGGAGACATAGAACCTGAAGACAGCCTTCAGGCTCTGAGCTGTCAGCACAGAGCCCAACATGGGGCTCGAACCCACGAACCGTGATATCATGACGTGAGCTAAAGCCGGACGCTTAACTGACTAAGCCACCCAGACGCCCCTATTTTTTAATGTTTGTTTATTTTATTTGTTTTGAGAGAGAGAGAGAGAGTGGGGTGGGGGCAGAGAAAGGGAGATACAGAATCTGAAGCAGGCTCCAGGCTCTGAGCTGTCAGCACAGAGCTGGATATGGGGCTCTAACTCACGAACCACGAGACTATGACCTGAATTGAAGTCAGATGCTTAACCGACTGAGCCACCCAGGTGCCCCCCGTATTTACTCTTTAATCCTTATTCTGCCTTACAAGGGAAATGCCATGATTGCCCCATGTCAACAGTGTGGAGATTAAGGCCCAGAGAGAGGAAACTTTTGCCCAAGGTTACAGGGCTTCTGGTAAGGGGCAGAGGCAGGTTCTGAATGGAGGCAGCCTGGCCCGAGGGCCTGCACGTTAAACCACTGTGCTATTCTGCCGCTGTAATAATTCATGGGGCACAATAATGAATTGTGCCGGACTGTCTGTAGCGTCAGCGCTCACCCTGGCTGTGTATCAGAACCACCTGTGAAACTACACGGCTGTCCTATGGCAGCTGATGCTTGTCCAGCCGGTGCTGGGTGTGTGCTGCTGTGTCACGCGCCAGGGTCCCACACACACTAGCAGAAGTTCGGGATGTTGCTGCAATGTCAGCGCCGTTTTACACGTAGGAAGCTGGCGCTCAGAGAAGTCATAAAACGAAACCGCAGTCACATAACTGGGAGGTGGAAGAGCCAGGGCTCCCGCCTGATAGTCTGACCGTGGGTCTGCTACCCTGGGCTCCCCGGTGATGGCCGCTGACCTAGACAGACCGGGGCCCACTTCACAGGTGGGTTGAGCGAAGCCCAGGAGCAAAATAGAAGCGTGGGGTCAGGGCCAGATTATGAAGTGGAGGCCCAGGGTCTTGAGCTGGAATTTTCCATAATCTGTGCCTTCCTTCTTCGCATCAGGACTGGCCCCAGCATGGGGGGGGTGGAGGGGTAGAGGTGGAGCCCAGGAAAGTGGGGCCTCTGATCTTTAGCAAGGAAACAGACTTTGGATCCGAGTCCTGATGGCCAGGGTGTGAGCCCTGGGCCTCCCTGGCCACGAGCCTCCCTAGGTTCAGTTTTGTTTGGAGGAGGGGGGGTTCCTTCTCATTGTCTCTTTAAAGTAAATCTCTTTCATCTTTCCCTACTGCGATGGAAGGAGAAGAGGGAGGTGTGGGGACGAAACACTGGTGTCGGGGTGAAGGGAATTTCACCTTACACCCCAAACCCCCCTGCCCGCAGGGTGACTTAGGGGCAAGTCGTCTATCAGACGTCCCACTGTCAAGCCAGGTTTCTCCTGACTGTGCAGAGAGGAGACTTGCCTCTTGAAGTCCTTTCTGTGGTGTAGCCATCAGGGGGCAATCGCCACCCTCCCTGAGCTCCCATGGCAGACCTCTCTACTGCCCAGGTTTGGTATTCTGTCATTTGAGATCTAAGGAGCTGCAGCAGAGGGCCATCATGTTGTCAGGCAGGGACGGTTGCATCTCGGGGGAGACTGGGGAGAAAGGCGGAGGCTCAGGGAGAGCAGTCTACCCCCGCCCTGATTAACAAGCCCATCCAAGTTGCCCTAGGTGGGCCCAGATGGGGTGCCGACCTCGTGTCCCCAGAGTCCCCCACTGCCAACCTTGGGTTTCCCAACAAACCGAGGAAGAACTTAACCCCAAAATCATGTCCCTTCCATTTGGAAGCCATGGCCAAGGACTGCAAACTTGCACTAATATTTTTAAATTTTATTTTATTTTATTTTTTAAAATGTATTTTATAGAGTCAGAGCGTGAGCAGGGGAGGGTGAGAGAGAGAGGGAGACACAGAATCCGAAGCAGGCTCCAGGCTCTGAGCTGTCAGCACAGAACCCGATGCGGGACTCAAACCCACCAACCGTGCACTAATATTTTTGAAGGTAGCTTTTGAGACCTGCCAAGCAGGACTGATTTTTCAGTTCACAGTCTTAGAGAGTCACAGATTTCTCTAGGCTGTGTTCAAACTGTAGGCAAGTAGCAAACCAAACGACCCCTTGACTTCTGTTGGAACCATCGGTCCACAAAGCCCAGGGTGTTGTACTTGCATGCGCAGCCCCAGTTATCCTCTGGGCTCCTTCTTGCCATGGGGCAGGAACAGTCCTTCATAAGGAGGGAAACTGAGGCATTGGAGGTTACCTGGCTGGACTAAGACACGCAGAGTTAGCAGAGCTGGGAAGGGAAACAGGTTTCAGACCTGAGGGGTCGAGATGAGGGAAGTCCTTATTCCCCAGACCCCTTGAATTAGCTGCCCCCATTTCTTTATTTGTAAGTGGAGAGAAGGCCATCGAGTTGTTGGGGAAGCGTGACATGCTAAATATCCCAGTACTTCCTTCTTCCTGGCAGCGGTGGCATTCTTGGCTGTCACTCCCTCATCTGGCAGCCCGGCAGCCCTTGGTGCAGTCTGATCTCTTGCCTACTCCCGGGGAAATCTGTTCTCTTTCTGGCTATTGGGTACTCAGAGTCAGAGGGAGTTGGAGAGCATATTGGTTAGGAATGCAGTTGTCTGCAGGTAATCAACAGCCCAATTTAGAGTATCTTAAACAAACAAAAGATTTATTTTCCTCACATGGCAAGAAGGCTTATAGCAGTTGCCCCCTGGTAATTGTGTTAGTGGTTTGATGGTATCAGGGCTGGCATCTCTGATTTTCTTGGACTTTTCCTCATGGTTGCAAGATAGCTGCTGCAGCTCCAGGTATCACATTCACTTTCAAAGTGGGACAGAAGGGTAAGAAGAGCTGCACCATTTACAAACACCCTTTAATGAAGAAAGTAAAAACCTTCCCAGAGCCTCTAGCAGACCTCCACGCGCAGCCAGAACTGTGTCCCATGGCCATACCTACTGCAAGGCAGGCAGGGAAAGTATTTCATTTTTTCTGTCTCTGGGGAAGAGGAGGATTGGGAATAGGTGCTGGGTTAGGATCCAGCACCGTCTGCCACAGACCTGTAGGAACAGGCATGGGAAAACTCACGACTTCCTTACTGAAAAATTTATCACCCAGTAAAAAATTTGTTCATTTGTTCACTCATTCATAAACATATACATAGAATATATCCAGTACACAGGTGTAGAAACTGAGGCAAAAGGTTGAGATTCATGTAAGGAGCTTACAGTTGGCCTAGTGAGAGAGGGAAATAGCCTTTAATGGCAACTCTGGCTCAAGTATGGGGGGGTTCCACAACCTTTCCCCTAAGTCCCAGTTTTACTTTTGGCTCTTCATTGTGTCTGGAGGCACTGAGGAGGGTGGGGAAGCCGTTCTCTGGTCCCCAGGTAGGAGGGGGTCTCTAAAGGAGGGACCAGAGGCCTCGCTGTCAGAGGAGGTAGCATGGCCTGCCCTCATCTCTTGGCCTGACCCTCGCTTTCCCCACCTGTTACTGCTCAGGTCCCACTCAGGCTTTGTTTCCTGCTCCTGGGAGGAGCATCTGCCCTTGCCCGGCTCACTGTACCCCTAGCTTCGGGGCCACCAGCCCTTCTGACCTGCCCTTTCCCATTCCAGGTCCCCCGCATCTACTGGGAGCTGTCCACCAAGCGGGTTCTTCTGATGGAGTTTGTGGATGGCGGCCAGGTCAATGACAGGGACTACATGGAGAAGAACAAGATTGATGTCAATGAGGTGAGGTTGCGCTCTCATGGCTGCTGTGCGAGGGACACAGGCTTGGTCGGGGCCGCCCACCAAGGGTGGGTGTGTCCCCATGAGGTCTCACTGCCTCGAAATGGACCTGTTGACCCAGGAATCATAATGCCGCTGAGCACCAAGCCTCCTTCCAGGGTGTCTAGCATGGTCCTCTGCCCTGTCTCCCAAGGCGGGGGCTGGGAGCACACGGTGGGGAGCAGGCACATATTGAGCCCTTGATTGCATCTCCTGCCTGGACAAGCGAATTCCATCTGTTAAGGAGTGTAGTGACATGATCTTAGTTAGCACTCTGGGTAGGCAAGAGGAGGGAATGGAGAGCAAATAAGCCAGCCCCATGCCCCGGGTTAGCCTCTGTGAGGCAGGGCTGGGGCACACTGTTGGTTTTTGTTTTCTCTGGACATGCAGAGTGGGGTAGGCTGATCCAGAGTGATTTGGGGGAAACAGTAGCAGCAATAATAATAATTACAAGCAACTAAGATGTGCTAGGCACATGACGCACGTAATCTCTACTCCTTACAGCTGTCTTGACAAGGGTGAGATGAGAGACCATAACCCCATTTATGGATGAGAAAGCTAAAGCTCAGAGAGGTTAAGTGACTCGCCCAAGCTCACACAGCTAGTGGGGACAGAGCTGTTTGGACCCAGTTCTGCAGGACATCCATATCTCTGCTCCTCCACCTTCTCCATCCCCCTCTCGGGGACTGGCCTGGGGCTGCAGTGGAACCAGAGCCAGCCGGGTGACGGCCACATCAGTAACTCCTTGAAGAAGGAGGTGCGGGACTGACGGAGAAGCCCTGCCCACCACACAGGCACTATCTGAATGCAACCCTTCTCCCTTTAACTCATGTCAGGCATGGTTTTTTCCATTTCGTGCAAACACTGTTCCATTTTTAGAGATGAGAGGAGATGAGCAGTGCTGAGCACCACGCCCGGTGTGTGGTTGGTGCTTCAAGTTGGTAGTTAGTTGAGTATTGTTGTTTTCATGATTATTACCATCGCGGAGCACTGTCCTTTCTTCCTTTACCTCCTTATACCGTTAACACTTACCATCCCTGTGCCAGGCCCTTTCTGCACTGCAAACTTAGGAGGAGTGTGTATTTGCAGGTGAGGAATCGGAGACCGAGACAGGGAAGGTCCCAGATCTTGATGGCACACTTCCATTGTTTCCACATGGATCCCATGTAATCTCCAGTCAGATAAAGATGGAAATCACTCCTAGACCTCTGGCAGGCTTCCTCACCCTCACCAGAATTGCCTTCCTGACTCTGTCACCAGAGGTCACTTCTGCTTACTACTGAACTCCCTATAAGTGGAATCACACAGTGCAGTCTTTTGTCATCAATTGCCTGTGGGTCTTTTCTGGAAGCGGTGTTCCCTTCCATTGGTCTACTGGTCCATCCTTGTAATAGTACCACACTGTCTTGTTTACTTAATTCCTCAGTCCCCTGCCCCTGGTGTCTGGGGTTTGCACGATCTGGAAGGCTATTTGGTATTCTAAGATGTCGTCATTAAAGACTTCCCCAGAAAACTCAGGCTGGGCAGTGGGCGGTGGCCCATGTGCTCTATTGTGCTGTCAGTGACCATTGGCGATGTTGGGAGACAGGCCCTACTTTACAGAAAGTAATCTGTTGTGTCTCTAACCAAGCAGCATCAGAGCCACAGGCCTCATGGAAGACTAGTGGGAGTGTGTGTGTGTGTGTGTGTGTGTGTGCGTGTGTGCATGTGGTTCGGAAGACTCCACATTCCTGGAACATTCTAACAGACTTCTGTTCTAAGGTCCCCTGAGGACTGTGGGACTCCACGAGCCTGTCCCTGGAGTGAAGCCCTCCTTGGGACAGCCTTGCTGTGAGTGTTCCTTGGACAAGGAAGTACCAGGGACAGGCAGAGTGATAAGGGACAAACACCTCACCCCACATATCCTGGGCACTAGGCTGTTTTGTGGCATCTTGGCTGCCACAGGTGGGTCACTCAGCGTGAAGGTGGGGCTCAGGAAGTGGCTGTAGAAGGATTCGCTTTCCAGGTGGATGGGGATGACCCCAGACCACCAACCACTTACTGGGCCAGCCCCATTCCACTTTGGAGAGGCCTGCTCATCCCAGCCTAGCTGAGCCTGGCTTGTGATGACCTGAAGATCAGACTCAGTAGCCAGTATCCAATAGACTCAGCTAGAGAAACACCAGGTTAGGAGGCAAGAGACCTAAGTCCAAGCGCTAGTTCTGCCAGTGGCTTCCTGTGTGACCTTGGACAGATCACTTCCCCTTTCTGGGCCTCAATTACTGAAGGCATTGGATTAGCTGCAATCCAAGGGTACGTCCTGCTTGAATATTTACACAGCAGTGATTCCTGGCTTGCTGGGAGCCAAGACTTTAACCATCTATTTCAGAATCACCAGGAGGAGCTTATTTAACAGTACAGATTCCTGCTCCACCCCAGACTTACTCCTCCATCTGGAGTGGAAAAGGTTGTAGGAATCTGCATTTGCACAAACTTCAGGTGGTTCAGACGCTGACTGGAACCCAGCAACCACCGGCCACCAGGTCAGCCTCCAGGCATCAGGCAGCCTGTCCCATGTGCTCCCTCATCCCACGAGCGTGAGACCTGGGGGGCCAGCAGCCCGCGGGGGCCCTCTTTTGTTTGAGCCTCTGCACCCAGAAGTCGCATATTACTGAGGGCCTGACCTGATCATATTTGCCAGTCACATTAAGAGCTGGTGACAGTGACTGTCATTGATTTTATTAAAAGTAAAGGTCGAACAGGAGCACGCTTCCCTAGGCTGGACGGAGCCTCCTCAGACCATAGGACCACTATTGATTGCAGACCTTTTATCGAAGGTTAATTGGATTTTAGTGAGTGTGTGTTCAAGACTCTGCCTGGGCTGAGGCCCAATTGAATTTGTGTGAAATTAGCCGAGAGAAAGGTGACAAAGTTGGGAGTTTGGGGGAGGCGGGGATGGGGCCTGCGGGCCTGGCAAGCAGACACCTTCTGTCTGTGAAGAGTGGGTGGGGGTGGGGGGGCTTGCAAGAGACGCCTGGGAGCCAGCGGGGGAAAGGGGGCAGGGGGCTCCCAGTGCTCTTTATGTTGACTTGGATTCAATCCTCTATCCTTGGGATGGCCCTCTGGGTATGTGGTGTGGCTTCCAGAGCCTGTCTTTTTGCCTCTCCAGAAAATAAATCTCGCCTTGAGTCAAAGGTGGTGGGGTGGGTTGGGATCTGGGGCTCAGCTCTTTGAAAGCCTTCCCTCAAATCCTTTTTCAAGACCACTAGCTCCTCTTTGCAGAGGTGTCAGGGGCCCTCAGTTACTGAGGCTCCATTGGCTTGGGGCAGATGTCAGGCTCTCCCCTTGCCACCTTAGGGCCCCTCGTTGTCCAGCTGGCTAAGCCCGTTCTCAGCCGCTGTCTGCCCCCTTCCCCTTCCCCAGCAGCACAGTCTTGTTCGTTTCTTTGTCTCTGCTCTGTTATTGGGGGCTCTTTGTATTCTTTGTTTCTTTTAGTCATTTTCATTGGGTCGGGGATGGAGTGGAGTCAGTGTGCGGATTCAATCTGCCACGTTCAGCCAGAGCCTCTGGCCACACTTCTTCCTTCCTTCCTTCCTCCTGTCATTCTGGAAGCCGTGAGAGGGTCTCAGATGTGCCTTTCGGCAGACATTTATTGTGTACCTACTGTGTGCAGGCACTGCGCATCAGTGGTGTACCAGAGGTGGGCACAGCGTGTGGGAGAAGGAGGCGCTGGGTGAGGCCTCACTGAGGCTGGGCGCTATAGTGGGAGATGCCGAGGGTTTCAGAGTTGGGGCACCCCGGGGTTGTGCCTGGCTCTGCCATTTGTTGGCCAGGCGCTCTTGGTAAGTTACTTCAACTCAGTGATTTTCTAGCTCTGTGCATGTGGAGTCAACAATACTTACTTCATAGGGTTCTTGTGCAGACTGCAGGCTGTGAAGTTGTGTAAAAAAATCGTTTATAATTCATGATGTCGTTTCTCACAGAGGCATGTGTTCCTGAGAAGGTTCTCTGCGCCCCTCCTTTCCACCTCCCCCTGTTGTCCTGAGTATGAAGACTTGGAAAAGGAGCGGTGGTCATCGACCGCGCAAATGGTGACTCCCCACCTATAAACGCCAGGCTGCAGTTAGGCCCCCAGTTTCCCTGTGGTGAACACCGCACTCAGGGAGCCTCTGACTCTATGTTAGGAGGTGCTCAGAGGACCAAGGAAGCAAAGCTGAAGAGGCCCCAAGGACCCTCCTTACTGAAACCGCTAGAAAGAAAACATCTCCTTCCATTGTCCACAGAACTCCGTAACTCATCAGACCAAATCTTGAGAAGCCTGGGGGATGTGAGGGAGATCCAGGTGTGTGAGACAGGTTCCTGGAGAGTTCTCTCCCCAACAGCAGGGGTGTTCGGAGTGGAGTAGGCCTTCCTGGATTCTGTACCGGCTCTGTTCCTTACGAACCATGCCGCCTTGGTGAGGCCGGTCACCCTTTGGAAGCCCCAGCTGCCTGTTGTAAAGTGGGGTGCAGGAGAGTAACCCATAGGATTGTTTGACGATGGAAACACCAAGCGTTGGACATAGTACCCACAGTGCATGCTCAACAGAAGTTGATTTTATGCTGGAATTCCAACACCCAGCCCCTTCTTTGGCACTAGCGGTGAAATAGTTGCCGGAAAGAGGAAACGTGTAGGGAAGAAACCCTTTCCCCATTTCTTCTATTGACCCAGGTGAGGTAGAAGGATGTGGAAATATTTCTCTGGAGGGCGCTGTGCCCAAGGCAGGGGATGTCAGATGTCGACAGGTCTTCCTTCGCTGTGTCTTTTAATAGTTCTCGTCCCTAGGACCCAGGCCCTCTGGTCACTGTGACCCTTCGAATCTGTCTGGCCAGGAGACCTGAGGAGCCCTTACTGACCTTGGTGATACCCTGTTTCCTGGCTTTTAGGGGATGCCTAACTCAGAGAAGCTTTCACTGGGCTCCCGAATTAGAGTAAGCCCCCAGCTG